CAGCGAGGACAGGGAGGACAGGGAGGACAGGGAGGCCAGGGAGGACAGGGAGTCCAGCGAGGACAGGAGGACAGGGAGGACAGGGAGGACAGGGAGTCCAGCGAGGACAGGGAGGACAGGGAGGACAGGGAGTCCAGTGAGGACAGGGAGGACAGGGAGGACAGGGAGGACAGGGAGGACAGGGAGGACAGGGAGTCCAGCGAGGACAGGTAGGACAGGGAGTCCAGCGAGGACAGGGAGGACAGGGAGGACAGGTGAGGACAGGGAGGACAGGGAGTCCAGCGAGGACAGGGAGGACAGGGAGTCCAGCGAGGACAGGGGACAGGAGGACAGGTAGGAAGGGGACAGGGGAGTCCAGCGAGGACAGGGAGGACAGGGAGGACAGGGAGGACAGGGAGTCCAGCGAGGACAGGGAGGACAGGGAGGACAGGTAGGACAGGGAGGACAGGGAGTCCAGCGAGGACAGGGAGGACAGGGAGGACAGCAAGGACAGGGAGGGGAAAAAGGTTGCCCATATTTTCAAGACCTGAGCTACTTCCTTTATTTATTTAATTTATGAAATGTACTAGTTTATTTAGGCAATGTAATATGTTAGTTTAGGCTATGGCTATTTCGCAGCATAAATCTATATTTGTCAGCATAAAACTGAGTGACTCACTCATTCGTGGATTTGGATCAAAATAAATAAGTACCAACATTCTTTCTGATCGTCTTTAATAAATAAACGTTTTGACCAAGTTAATCTGCTCATGTTGTGTGTGTGTGTGTGTTCAATTATTTGTGACTTTGTGGTTACAATTAAGAATGTAAACGAAATAAATCAAAGAAATCCTATGCATAATGAATAATCAGCTACATGTTGCAAGCTTGTCAAGTTAGCTAGGCTAAGGGTTAAGGTTAGGGTTAGGTTTTGGGGTTAGAGGTTAAGGTTAGAGCTAAGGTTAGGTAACATACAAGCTAACATGCAAGCTAGCTAAATTGTTAAAATGTAGTAAGTTGTTGCTAATTTGCTAATTAGCTAAAATCCTAAAGCTGTCCATGACTTCATTCGAACACACAACGTTTGGGCTGCTAGACGGTCACGTCATATGCCCACCCCGACCAACCTCACTCCTATTGTTTCTGTCTTAAGTAACCTACTGTCTTTATCTGTGATTAAAATGCACTGTATACATAATTGTGTACTGCACATGACAAAGGCCTTTTCAGACAAGGCCTTTCAGACAAAGGCCATCTTTCTTCTCTCTGTAAAAGTCAATACACTGGCCTGTGTGTTCGTGTGTGTGTACTGTATGTGACTGCACTGGCTTAGCGGTGTGTGTCTATGTTTCATTCTCGGGAAATCCCAAAGTTTATCAACACGTTTACGAAAAGCGTTTTCAAGTCACAAGTTTCTTATGGGATTGGGTTTGGTGTTGATGTAACAGGGGGAACTGTACAGCAAATAACTTGTGCACGCACACACACAGTCACACACACACACACCCACACACACACCCACACAGCGTTGCACTGTGGCACTTGTGATAACCTCTCAATGGAGTAGTTTATCAGGTGCTGCTAACCGCCGGGTCACAGTGTTTTAGCAGTCATGGTCAGCAGGGGAAAGAACCAGGTGGACAAATAATGTTTGTGAAACCTTTACCTCTCCGGGATGAAGAAAAAGTAGTCCACGCTATGCCCAGGAGGACATGTTCTAGGCTGGGCTGTGATGTCTGGAAGTCCCCTGAGGGGAGATGACCTATTTCTCTGAAAATGGAGGTCGGAGGAGACATTCTTTAAACATGACGTGTGTGAAGTAATTAATACTCTTCTCTGCTGGTTGTCTGGAGAGGTTTGCTGTGATTTACAGGAAAACAGGAGCACCTTGATTCTCTGGCCTGTTTATATGAATCTCAACAGGTGTTTAATTTGGTAATGTGTTCCACATTGACACATTATTTGACACATTATTTGACATTTTCTCTTTTGTCTTTTAATTAAAAATCACTATGCTTTTCACGCACAAACACACACACACACACACACACACTGACACACACACACACACACGGCTTCATGCCTCTGTAGATCTTCTCCTCTCTCTCTCTCCTTCTCTACCTCCTGCTCTCTCTCTCTCCTCTCTCCTCTCTCCTTCTCTACCTCCTCCTCTCTCTCCTCTCGCTCTCTCTCCTTCTCTACCTCCTCTCTCTCTCTCCTCTCTCCTCTTTCCTTCTCTACCTCCTCCTCTCTCTCTCCTCTCTCTCTTCTCTCCTTCTCTATCCTCCTCTCTCTCTCTCCTCTCTCTCTCTCCTCTCTCTGACCCCATAACAACTGATCCCACAGGAAATGCTTCACTCAAGCAGCTCTGACTTCTCAGAAGCAATATGTCTCCCTCTCTCTCTCCATCTATCTCTCTCTTTCCCTGTTACAAGAAATACACCAAACATAAACAATACATTTTTGTTGGGTTTCAACATTCAAACATTTTACATGGAGCTATATTCAACACGCACGCACACACACACACACACACACACACACACACACACACACACACACACACACACACACACAGGGGCATTATCCAGTCAGTCATTATCTGGGACAGAATAGGAAGCAGACTGGTTCATTTTATTGTCAGAAAACATAACAAAATAATGCATGTCTTCAATTCACCATATTTCACATGAAAAACAACAACTGTCATGATATTTAAAAGGATTTGTAAGGAGAATACTGAAACAAATAAAAATAGTATCTCTGAGATTAGATGAGATGAGATTAGATTATGTGTCATCAAAGTCATCAAAAATGCACTTTGTCTGAAACACGCTAATCCCATGATAAAGAACGCTGAGCTTTATTTCCCCAACAAGATTATTCTGTGACAAATCTGCGAATGGTGGTGAGGAGTGTCAGCTGAGCTGAGGAGGCTTTCAGGGGAAAGATAAGGAGACTGATAGCGAGAACAGTAGCTCTGCAGTAAACTCAAAGCTGCTACTTTAAACTGCTTTCAATTGACTGCAGCTCTGTTAAACCTCAAAGCCTGAAAATAACAGCTACATGCTCAGACTTTAAACACTCCAAACCTGACATCCTGTAAGGGTTTTACCCCTTCTCATGTTGGTCCTTCCAGGTCACAGGGCAGGCGGATTGAGACCCAGTTAGACAGAGAGCGAGCGAGAGAGCAAGATAGTTATTTTGACCCTTGTTTATTGTTGTTTCTGTTGTCCCGTTGACAATATTGATTATTATTATTTTAATTATGTTAATATTGTAAATATCCAAAGTAAGCTTTGGCAATATGTACATTGTTATGTCATGCCAATAAAGCAAATTGAATTGAGAGAGAGAGAGAGAGAGAGAGAGAGAGAGAGAGAGAGAGAGAGAGAGAGAGAGAGAGAGAGAGAGAGAGAAAGGTGGGGTGGAGTGGGGTGTGGAGACACGTGAAGAGGCTCAGTACACCTCACATGATCACAGGGCCTACAGGGGATGAGAACTCAACTATGTTTATCCCAAATACTCTCTACTGGTCCTCAATAACAGCAGTGGTGGAAAAAGTACCCAATTGTCATACTTGAGTAAAAGTAAAGATACCTTCCAAGAAAGTAAAATAGTAAAATACTACTTGAGAAAAAAAGTCTAAAATATTTGGTTTTAAATATACTTAAGTATAAAAAGCAAATATAATTGCTAAAATATACTTAAGTATCAAAACTAAAAGTATAAATAATTTCAAATTCCTTATATTAAGCACATTTTATTGTATTTTATTTATTTACGGATAGCCAGGGGCCCACTCCAACACTCAGAGATCATTTACAAACGAAGCATTTGTGTTTAAGTGAGTACACCAGATCAGAGGCAGTAGGGATAACCAGGGATGTTTTCTTGACAAGTGCGTGAATTGGACCATTTTCCTGTCCTGCTAAGCATTCAAAATGTAACGAGTACTTTTGGGTGTCAGGGAAAATGTATGGAGTAAAAAGTACATTATTTTTCTTAGGAATGTAGTAAAGTAAAAGGAACGGTGGTAAAAGTAGTCAAAAATATAAATAGTAAAGTAAAGTACAGATACCCCAAAAAACTACTTAAGTAGTACTTTCAAGTATTATTACTTAAGTACTTTACACAACTAAATAACAGCCAGGTCACACGTGATACAAGTCAGTATTCGTGGAAACCGGCCACTAGGGGCAACATTAAGCGCTTATACCTTCAAGTAGGTTTTCAGTTTTGTCAGAGTGTTGTGGACAGGGATGGCAGATGGGCTTAAGCATCTGCCTCTGATTCCAAAGGTTGCAAGTTTGAATCCAGTGATAGACAGTTATTTTTGTTTTAAGCCTATCCTAAACCTTAGGAGTTAACGCCTAACCTTACGATTTCAGTTTTGTTTTTACATGATTTTAGCAGACGCTTTTATCCAGAGCGACTTACAGTAAGTAATGAGCGCATACATTTATGTACTGATCCCCCATGGGAATCGAACCCACAACCCTGGCGTTGCAAACACCACGCCACAAGGCAGTTAATGCCTAAACTTAACCCTAACCTTACAAATTTGGAGTTAATGCTTAAACTTAACCCTAACCTTACACATTTGGAGTTAATGCTTAAAATTAACCCTAACCTTACAAACTTGGGAGTTACTGCTTAAACACTTAGAAATTTGACGAGATTCAGCTGCAGCATCAGATGGATATGTCAGAATTCAAATGTAGAACACTTGGCTTCATCAAATGTCTTCCATCTGGCATCAGTTGTTCTGCCTCATTGGTTTCCTTGGTGATTCGAAAATCCAGACAAACCTGTTTTGATATCTGGTATTGTTGTTGGGACGCAGTGCCATAAAGAGTGGAAAATCCATCAGTTTTCAAGCACAAAACAAACAAATAAACACTGTCTATCACTGAAAAAACAACAACAAAGACAAAAATCAAAGCAGCACCTAAACAACTGCTGAGTTGCTAGGGGAAACAGAAATGAACATTGAAACACCGTAACTTTTCTTCTGTTTTCTACAAGTTATGCTGCAGCCATTTTATGAAGTTTTCCGTCATCGTGCGTCCAATCAGGAAGTCGGTTGGCCACACCGTGAACATGAGGGCGCCGTGGAAACCACTGGCGTAGTGTTCGTGCGTCACCTCCACGCCGGCGTGGCGCAGGCGCGTGGCATACATCACCCCGTCGTCCCGCAGCACGTCGTACTCACAGGTCAGCACGTAAGCCTTGGGTAGCGAGCGTAAAGCGGCATCCGGGACCAGCAGGGGCGAGGCCCGGGGGTCAGCGATGGAGCGCGATGGCCCGTCCGACCCCGCCCCTCCCGCCGACAACGCCACGACCGGAGCGCTGTAGTTGTACTTCCCCCGGTAGGACTCTGGCAGGAAGGCACTCCAGTTGGCGAACTTGAGCAGGGCAGCAGACTCTGGGCTGTTATGAGTGTTGGCCATCATGTCCCTGAAGAAGGTCTTGTCGCTGGTGAAGTACTCACTCCAGAAGCGCACCATGAGGGTGCGGGGCAGGATAGGCATGTTCTGGTTCTGCTGGTAGGACGGGGTATTGAGGTCCAGAGCCTGCAGCACCGGGTAGAGCAGGGCCTGGACCTTCAGCTGCAGCTGCTGTTCTGGATCCTGCTGCAGCTGTAGACACACACACACACGCACACACACACACACACACACACACACACACACACACACACACACACACACACACACACACGGACACACACACACACAGATAGACAGACAGACAGACAGACAGACAGACAGACAGACAGACAGACAGACAGACAGACAGACAGACAGACAGACACACACACAGACACACACACACACACACACACACACACACACACACAGACAGACAGACAGATACACACTCACACACACACACACACACACACACACACACACACAGGACCATAAGACCTACTGTTCTGTACTGTACCGCAGCCTTGGATGGCTCCTCCTAATCTCATCTACTCATAGATCAAAACAACAGTGGATAGATAGTACTGCTAACCTGCTGGGACACGGCTGCAGCCAGGTTTCCCCCGGCGCTGTCCCCAGACACAGCGATGCGTCCTGGGTCCACAGTGTACTGGGCCAGCACCACCCTCTGGAGGAAGTGCTTCACCACCCGGTACACGTCCTCATACGGGACAGGGAAGCGGTGCTCTGGGGCAAGGCGGTACCTGGGCGGACACAGTGGAGGGGTCAGAGGTCAACTGAGCTAGAATTCAGGTCATCTCACCTGAGAACAATTTGTGTACCAGCTGAGGTAGCTATAGCTAAATGACAACACCATTTCCTGTACCCTATGGAAGTCAATATGGACCTGAGGCAACTAGGACATGGTGACTAATCTCTATACAAACTGAACAATAAGGACATAGTGATTAATCTCTATAAAAACTAAACAGTAAATCAGGGTGGATCTAAAACGACATCCAACTAGTTTAGACATAAAGTATCTCTGACTCGCTGGTTGTGACCCAGGGGTTAATTACACTACAGTACTTCTAACTTGTCATGTTGTGTTGACATTACTAAAGCAAAACCTCCTAATCCTGTATTATCAGTGTACTGTATGTGATCAATCTAATCAGGGACCAAAGGCTAGCTGATACAAGAGCATTGTTTTTCATGAGCTGGTTTAGAGATGAAAGGCAAGTCATATAATGATACTGCATAGTACAGTCATATGACTCAGCCCATTAACGTTATCACACAAGTTATATAAAAACAGTTTGGAACCTAACGCATTTGGAAAGCATTGGAATGTCGACACATTGTTGGCAGGAATTTGGCTGGCAGTTTGCACAGATACAATACCCCCACACACATGCAGCCATGCTTTCACAGAGGGAATCACAGGTGTGATGTGGTGTACAAAGTGCTCTCTGTCTCTGTCTCAGTCTCTCTCTGTGTCTCAGTCTCTCTCTGTGTCTCTCTCTGTGTCTCTCTCTCTCTCTCTCTCTCTCTCTCTCTCTCTCTCTCTCTCTCTCTCTCTCTCTCTCTCTCTCTCTCTCTCTCTCTCTCTCTCTCTCTCTCTCTCAATTTAAGGGCGTTATTGGCATGGGAAACATATATTTACATTGCCAAAGCAAGTGAAATAGCTAATAAACAAAAGTGAATTAAACAATAAATATTAACAGTAAACATTAAACTCACAAAAGTTCCAAAAGAATTTCAAATGTCATATTATGTGCAAATAGTTAAAGTACAAAAAGGGAAAATAAATAAACCCCAAAAGACTGGTACTGTATATAACATTGATACCAGATGTATGTCAGATATACAGTACATCAAATATATACTCACTCTACAGACACGACCACAGAGTTAAGATCCATTACCATCTGCCTAGCTAGGAGGTCGTATGGTCCCATTCCTACACAAAGAGAGGAGAGAAGAGAGAGCCGTCAGAGACAATATCATCTAATAATATCTTACATCGTCAACAGCTACAAAGTACTCAATAGTATCTTGAGCAGTATCTTGAGCATCTCATGCTCAATAGTCTTGTAGTCCTGGCAAGTCACACACAAACACACACACACACACACACACACACACACACACACACACACAAACAAACAGCAGATTGCAGGCACAACATGACACTTGTCGCATGTCACATAATTGCCTTTGGTTACCAGGGGGTTACCATGGTCTCTGTGTTGAACAGCTTGAACAGAGTGTACATTCCTCAGGAGAGGTGGAGGGTGAACAGAGTGTATATTAATTCCATAGTAAACTGTAGTATACTGTAGAATACTATAGTAAATACTACCGTGTTATCTGCGAACAAAAACACTGCAGTAAATACTACAGTTATGTCCGCAAAAACACTACACTTTTTTAAAACTATAGTAAATACTACATTATTTAAAGATGCACTATGCAGAAATCGCTTTACCATTTCCTGGTTGGTAAAATTTGAATAGTTGGCCTGATTTCAGTTTATGTGACAAAACAAGCAAGTATAGTATAGAGAACCATTGTACCATCTAAACCGCTGTGAAATAATGTATATTTTACGTAAGTCAAAATATAGTATTTCAGCTGTTTGAAGCTGGTATACAAATCTGAAAGTAAAAGACGCAAATACGAAACTTAAGAACGGGAAGCATAGAATCAAATCAAATCAAATTGTATTTGTCACATGCGCCGAATACAACAGGTGTAGACCTTACCATGAAATACTCACTTACAAGCCCTTAGCCAACAATGCAATTCAAGAAATAGAGTTAAGAAAATATTTACTAAATAAACTAAAGTAAAAAATTAAATAAAAGCAACACAATAAAATAACAATACCGAGGCTATATACAGGTGGTACCGGTACCGAGTCAATGTGCGGGAGTACAGGTTAGTCCAGGTAATTTGTAAATGTAGGTAGGGGTAAAGTGACTATGCATAGATAATAAACAGCGAGTAGCAGCAGTGTAAAATGGGGGGGTGTCAATGTAAATAGTCCGGATGGCCATTTGATTAATTGTTCAGCAGTATTATGGCTTGGGGGTAGAAGCTGTTAAGAAGCCTTTTGGACCTAGACTTGGTACTCCGGTATTGCTTGCCGTGCGGTAGCAGAGAGAACAGTCTATGACTAGGGTGACTGGAGTCTTTGACAATTTTTTGGGCCTTCCTCTGACACTGCCGAGTACGTATATAGGTCCTGGGTGGCAGGAAGCTTGGCCCCAGTTATGTAATGGGCCGTACGCATTACCCTATGTAGCGCCTTACGGTCGGATGCAGAGCAGTTGCCATACCAGGCGGTGATGCAACCGGTCAGGATGCACTCGATGGTGCAGCTGTAGAACTTTTAAAGATCAGGGGACCCATGCCATATCTTTTCAGGCTCCTGAGTGGGAAAAGGTGTTGCCGTGCCCTCTTCACAACTGTCTTGGTGTGTTTGGACCATGATAGGTTGTTGGTGATGTGGACACCAAGGAATTTGAAACTCTCGACCCGCTCCACTACAGCCCCGTTGATGTCAATGGGGGCATGTTCGGCCCTCCTTTTCCTGTAGTCCACGGTCATCTCACATTGAGGGAGAGGTTGTTGTCCTGGCACCACACTGCCAGGTCTCTGACCTCCTCCCTATAGAATGTCTCATCGTTGTGTCGTCAACAAATTTAATAATGGTGTTGGAGTCGTGCTTGGCCACGCAGTCGTGGGTGAACAGAGAGTACAGGAGGGAACAAAGCAAGCACCCCAGAGGGACCCCCGTATTGAGGATCAGCGTGGCAGATGTGTTGTTGCCTACCCTTACCACCTGGGGGCGGCCCGTCAGGAAGTCCAGGATCCAGTTGCAGAGGGAGGTGTTTAGTCCCTGGGTCCTTAGCTTAGTTATGAGCTTTGTGGGCACTATGGTGTTGAACGCTGAGCTGTAGTCAATGAGCATTCTCACATAGGTGTTCCTTTTGTCCAGATGGGAAAGGGCAGGTCGAGTGCGATTGCGATTGCGTCATCTGTGGATCTGTTGGGGCGGTATGCGAATTAGAGAGGGTCTAGGGTTTCCAGGATGATGGTGTTGATGTGAGCCATGACCAGCCTTTCAAAGCACTTCATGGCTACCAATATGAGTGCTAATGTCGCACATAGAACAGATCTACCACTTCTTAGACTTGCTTTCAATAAGAATGACAGATCTATAACTTACATTTCTCTGTGAATTTGGTCAGGTCACCCAAAAAGTTACATATTGCAGCTTTAATTTGCATCTGGCCTACCCATTCCCCTCCCCCATATCGCTGGTTATTTCTTGTCTGGGTTCCCAGTGCTGACATTCAGCCCACTGAACCTCTCCGACATTACATTGTGGACGGGTGGGTGCATGGATGGATGGATGGATGGATGGATGTTGGTGAATGGATCAGTGGATGGATGGATAAATATACTGTATAGATATACGCCTTGACTAATTGCTTGCTTGGTAGATGGATTCATTACCAAGCAACTAACTGCTACTCACTGGAGCTGCCCAGACACCATCCTCCTCCATGCAGGTATATGACTGCTCTCCTCAGCTCAGTGTTGCCGTCCTGCAGTTTGGGCTGGTACACCACCACCTCCACCCCATCAAACAGCTCCTCTGTGACGTGCACATGTTGGTCTGACACGGGCACCACCCGCTCAGCAAAGGTGATGAACATCATCACCCCCATGTAGTCCTTCATCCCCACCAGTTCACTGAAGTCTGCCTGGAGAGAGAGAGAGATGAAGAGGTATGTTGGAGCAGAGGTAGAGAGTGAGGCAGGGATAGAGGTTAGAGAGAGAGGCAGGGATAGAGGGTAGAGAGAGAGGCAGGGATAGGGGTAGAGAGAGAGGCAGGGATAGAGGTTAGAGAGAGAGGCAGGGAGGGATAGAGTTAGAGAGAGAGGCAGGGATAGGGGTAGAGAGAGAGGCGGGGATAGGGGTAGAGAGAGAGGCGGGATAGGGGTAGAGAGAGAGGCAGGGATAGGGGTAGAGAGAGGCAGGGATAGGGGTTAGATAGAGAGAGGCAGGGATTAGGGTAGAGGAGAGAGAGGCAGGGATAGGGGGTAGAGAGAGAGGCGGGATAGGGTTAGAGAGAGGAGGCGGGGATAGGGGTAGAGAGAGAGGCAGGGGATAGGGGTAGAGAGAGAGGCAGGTATAGGGTAGAAGAGAGGCAGGGATAGGGTAGAGAGAGGCAGGGATAGAGGGGTAGAGAGAGAGGCGAGGGATAGGGGTTAGAGAGAGAGGCGGGGGATAGGGGTAGTTAGAGAGAGGCGGGGATAGGGGTAGAGAGAGAGGCAGGGATAGGGGTAGAGAGAGAGGCAGGGATAGAGGTAGAGAGAGAGGCAGGGATAGAGGGTAGAGAGAGAGGCAGGGATAGAGATAGAGAGAGAGGCAGGGATAGAGGTTAGAGAGAGAGGCAGGGATAGAGGTTAGAGAGAGAGGCAGGGATAGAGGTAGAGGTAGAGAGAGAGGCAGGGATAGAGGTTAGAGAGAGACAATATTTCCTGTTGAGTGAGAGAATTTAAATAAATATATTTTGATCATGGGGGCCAACGGGTGAACTTCCCCTGCTATTCAGTCACCTATTTTTATGAAATCTCGACAGCTTAATTATCCACGGTCCTGCCTGTCTCTGTCCAAGAGCAAAGACCAGGCCTTTTCTGACACATATTTGGCTGGTGCATGGCACCCGTATAAATACCAACAGGGAACCTTGATTGGATTGATCACCCATATAAATACCAACAGGGAACCTTGATTGGATGGATCACCCATATAAATACCAACTGGGAACCTTGATTGGATGGATCACCCATATAAATACCAACAGGGAACCTTGATTGGATGGATCACCCATATAAATACCAACAGGGAACCTTGATTGGATGGATCACCCGTATAAATACCAACAGGGAACCTTGATTGGATGGATCACCCATATAAGTACCAACAGGGAACCTTGATTGGATGGATCACCCATATAAATACCAACAGGGAACCTTGATTGGATGGATCACCCATATAAATACCAACAGGGAACCTTGATTGGATGGATCACCCATATAAATACCAACAGGGAATCTTGATTGGATGGATTTTGGAGTAAACGTTAGTGCTGAGCGATTCGTGCATTTTGAGGTCAGTCCTGTTTCGGTTCCATTTATGATTTTTCGGTTTTAATTTTTTTGTTTTTTATTATTATTGACATTAAATGGACTATGCATTATGTGGGTTGAATGCTGTAACAACACAGAATAAAACAATTAATAAAAGTCCCATGATGGTAGTGACTGCCCATTACTGCTGATCACTTTTATAATCATCATTTATTCACATTACTTTACTTTAATAAAATATTCAGTGTTGTGTATTTTACATTTGTTTTAATTGATGACTTTATTATTTCATTCCAAGTCATCATCTCATCTCTACAGAGCTGCTGCCTATGCTGTCTGACTAAATCACTATTTTAGTAGTTCTTCAAAGTAAATGAGGCATATAGTACGTTTATGACAGCTGAATACCAACTACCAATCACTTAGATCATGTATTTTCAGGTAGAAATACCTCATTAAGCAACTCCTCTCTATCCCTCGGTCACGGATTTAGCCGAGGCTGCTCCTCCTCCTTGCTCGGGCAGGCTTCGGCGTTCGTCATCCCCGGAGTACTAGCTGCCACCGATCTAGGTTTCAGCAATCATCTAGATTGGTCTGCTTTGTGTACACCTGTTTCCCATTAGTGTTGATGGTTTCCCTGTATAACCCCTGTCTGTCATTCGTTTGTTGTGTGTGATTGTTCTCTGTTTGTTTTCGGCAGGACTGTGTATTGCGATTATTGTTCCTCCCTGTTTTGGAGGTATTGTTGTTTTGTACTTTGCATTACGTTTATTAGTAAAGTACATCTGCCAGTCTCTCGGTGTCCTGCGCTTGACTTCGTTCACCGCATACACGTTTATCCTGACACCCTCTCCATCATGCATTTCTTCTCTCCCTCTCTGGTCTACCGCACACAGACCGGACAAGTAGGCGCGCAATGGATTATGGTCATTGTAGTTAATTACAAAATTTTCTGAGCTAAACTATGTAGAATATTGACCTGTTGGTAAACTACAACTCACTACCAAATCGCACAGTTCGGTCTTGATCCGATTTATCTCTAGAGATACTGTGCATTGATCTCACAGGAAAAAAACTGAACGAAATGTAATTCAAATAATTGAATTGACATGGTAAATTAGTTGTTTAAAAACCGGAAAATAACAGACATTTTGGTTAATCGCTCAGCACTAGCGTAATCATCAACCCAAGTTTACTGTTGCGACCAGGCGGCACAGACAGACTAGGGACCTTTCTAGGAAGACTAGACCCTTTCTCCTCCTAAAGCAAATTTGCGGGTGTTAAAATCTCGGTGTTATTAGTGTTATACCTGAGTATTGATTCTAGTGGGGTTAACACCAATGTTATATCTGAGTGTTGATTCTAGTGGGGTTAACACCAGTGTTATACCTGAGTATTGAGTCTAGTGGGGTTAACACCAGTGTTATACCTGGGTATTGAGTCTAGTGGGGTTAACACCAGTGTTATATCTGAGTGTTGAGTCTAGTGGGGTTAACACCAATGTTATATCTGAGTGTTGAGTCTAGTGGGGTTAACACCAGTGTTATAACTGAGTATTGAGTCTAGTGGGGTTAACACCAGTGTTATACCTGAGTATTGAGTCTAGTGGGGTTAACACCAATGTCATATCTGAGTATTGAGTCTAGTGGGGATAACACCAGTGTTATACCTGAGTATTGAGTCAGGTGGGGTTAACACCAATGTTATATCTGAGTGTTGAGTCTAGTGGGGTTAACACCAATGTTATATATGAGTGTTGATTCTAGTGGGGTTAACACCAGTGTTATACCTGAGTATTGATTCTAGTGGGGTTAACACCAGTATAACATCTGAGTGTGATTCTAGTGGGGTTAACACCAGTGTCATATCTGTGTGTTGAGTCTAGTGGGGATAACACCAGTGTTATACCTGAGTATTGAGTCAAGTGGGGTTAACACCAATGTCATATCTGAGTGTTGATTCTAGTGGGGTTAACACCAGTGTTATACCTGAGTATTGAGTCTAGTGGGGTTAACACCAGTGTTATACCTGAGTATTGAGTCTAGTGGGGATAACACCAGTGTTATATCTGAATGTTGAGTCTAGTGGGGTTAACACCAGTGTTATATCTGAATGTTGAGTCTAGTGGGGTTAACACCAGTGTTATATCTGAGTGTTGATTCTAGTGGGGTTAACACCAGTGGGATTGTAATTGACACCACCTGCTGTGAATAAACGAAGTGTTATTTGAATCACAGTGGAATCAACACTGCGTAGGTGTTGTTATTCGACTGTGTTGAGTTCATTTCCGTTAACTCTCTCAGAGTGAAAAAGACATCGGAGAGGCCTCGTTATCATATTTCTCAACATGCATTGATGCAGGTTGCTTTTTAGAGTAGTTTGTTTTAATACATAGCTTTCTGCATGCACATTGATTGACTAATTGATCTTATACTACACAAAGATAAATAACATACATTTTCCTAAACTAATCCAATCTATAAGTGGTTGGACTTTTTCACACGTAATTGAATTGGTTGTTCCAGTTTAAGTAGTCTCATTTATCAACCTTCCCTACCTTGAGAGCCACTCTAACTGCAGTTGCGGGTGATTCAAAGTTCAAATAGTTGGCTATCCTATCTCTGGCTGGATTCCAATAGGAATTATATAACACTTTTTGCAAGCCAGCATATTGAGATTTGCCGATGTGGCCTGCAAACCAGACGTTTCAGCGTTAGGGAATTAACACCTGTGGTGTTACAGTAATTCGTTTTTTTTTTTGGCTATTGTGACAGAAACATTATTGTTGCATTATTGTATGGCTTGCAGTCCTGTAGCCTTCACCAAGTGAGTGCCCGCCTAAGGGAATGTTTATCATAAAAATGTAATTATTTATAATAATAATAATAATAATATGCCATTTAGCAGACGCTTTTATCCAAAGCGACTTACAGTCATGCGTGCATATGTTTTTTGTGTATGGGTGGTCCCATACATTGCTTTTTTTTTTACAACACCATACTTCAACAGCCTAGTGTTACCCTAAAACAGTGGTATGGGAACGTGTAACTGCATCAGCTCTAAAGGTTTAAGTTAAGTTGGAATTTACAACACCCACGGGTGTTAGAGACCCAACACTCTTGGGGTGTTTGTTTATCAACACTTTGAAAAGTATTAGTTTAACATTATTTGAGATGGTCACATCAGAAAGTGTTAGATGTAACACTGGGGTGGTGTTCACGTTCTGATTGCAAATTTGCTGTGTGTATCGTATCTACATCACCAAACACCTCTGGAGTCATGCTGGGGTATAAACAGTCGTCTAATTTGGTGGTCTTCCGTTCATAAGTACAGCATCGATTTTCTTAATAGGGTCTATAATTAGAACAGATCAGCAGGACTACAAATACCTGGATTACCGTTTGACATGATCTGCTGTAACTGTCATTCAGCATGTCTGCATGTGCACATCAACCTCAGTGGAATCAATGTTAAAATAACACAAGATTTTGAATGCACAGCCTATATGTAAATACAAAAAATATGACTAAATATGTTTTTAGGTACAGTAAAACAAAGATTTGGGCATTATTTTCATTTAATATAGAATGGTCAGCTATGCATACCAAGAAGAGAATGTTCCTACTACCCTCTTTATGTTGGGACAGGCAGAGGAAAACAGAATGTTCCCACTACCCTCTTTATGTTGGGTTCCCACTACCCTCTTTATGTTAGGACAGGCAGAGGAAAACAGAATGTTCCCACTACCCTCTTTATGTTGGGACAGGCAGAGGAAAACAGAATGTTCCATTTACCCTCTTTATGTTGGGACAGGCAGAGGAAAACAGAATGTTCCCTTTACCCTCTTTATGTTGGGACAGGCAGAGGAAAACAGAATGTTCCCACTACCCTCTTTATGTTGGGACAGGCAGAGGAAAACAGAATGTTCCATTTACCCTCTTTATGTTGGGACAGGCAGAGGAAAACAGAATGTTCCATTTACCCTCTTTATGTTGGGACAGGCAGAGGAAAACAGAATGTTCCATTTACCCTCTTTATGTTGGGACAGGCAGAGGAAAACAGAATGTTCCATTTACCCTCTTTATGTTGGGACAGGCAGAGGAAAACAGAATGTTCCCACTACCCTCTTTGTGTTGGGACAGGCAGAGGAAAACAGAATGTTCCCACTACCCTCTTTATGTTGGGACAGGCAGAGGAAAACAGAATGTTCCCACTACCCTCTTTATGTTGGGACAGGCAGAGGAAAACAGAATGTTCCCACTACCCTCTTTATGTTGGGACAGGCAGAGGAAAACAGAATGTTCCCACTACCCTCTTTATGTTGGGACAGGCAGAGGCAAACAGAATGTTCCATTTACCCTCTTTATGTTGGGACAGGCAGAGGAAAACAGAATTTTCCCACTACCCTCTTTATGTTGGGACAGGCAGAGGAAAACAGAATTTTCCCACTACCCTCTTTATGTTGGGACAGGCAGAGGAAAACAGAATGTTCCCACTACCCTCTTTATGTTGGGACAGGCAGAGGAAAACAGAATGTTCCATTTACCCACTTTATGTTGGGACAGGCAGAGGAAAACAGAATGTTCCCACTACCCTCTTTATGTTGGGACAGGCAGAGGAAAACAGAATGTTCCCACTACCCTCTTTATGTTGGGACAGGTAGAGGAAAACAGAATGTTCCCACTACCCTCTTTATGTTGGGACAGGCAGAGGAAACAGAATGTTCCCACTACCCTCTTTGTGTTGGGACAGGCAGAGGGAAAACAGAATGTTCCCACTACCCTCTTTATGTTGGGACAGGCAGAGGAAAACAGAATGTTCCATTTACCCTCTTTATGTGGGACAGGCAGAGGAAAACAGAATGTTCCCACTACCCTCTTTATGTTGGGACAGGCAGAGGAAAACAGAATGTTCCATTTACCCTCTTTATGTTGGGACAGGCAGAGGAAAACAGAATGTTCCCACTACCCTCTTTATGTTGGGACAGGCAGAGGAAAACAGAATGTTCCATTTACCCTCTTTATGTTGGGACAGGCAGAGGAAAACAGAATGTTCCCACTACCCTCTTTGTGTTGGGACAGGCAGAGGAAAACAGAATGTTCCCACTACCCTCTTTATGTTGGGACAGGTAGAGGAAAACAGAATGTTCCCACTACCCTCTTTATGTTGGGACAGGCAGAGGAAAACAGAATGTTCCCACTACCCTCTTTGTGTTGGGACAGGCAGAGGAAAACAGAATGTTCCATTTACCCTCTTTATGTTGGGACAGGCAGAGGAAAACAGAATGTTCCCACTACCCTCTTATGTTGGGACAGGCAGAGGAAAACAGAATGTTCCATTTACCCTCTTTATGTTGGGACAGGCAGAGGAAAACAGAATGTTCCATTTACCCTCTTTATGTTGGGACAGGCAGAGGAAAACAGAATGTTCCATTTACCCTCTTTATGTTGGGACAGGCAGAGGAAAACAGAATGTTCCATTACCCTCGTTGTATGTTGGGACAGGCAGAGAAAACGAATTTCCACTACCCTTTTAGTTGGGACAGGCAGAGGAAACAGATGGTTCCACACCCTCTTGGGAAAGCAGAGGAAAACAGAATGTTCACACTACCTCTTTATGTGGGACAGGCAGAGGCAAACAGAATGGTTCCATTTACCCTCTTTAGTTGGGACAGGCAGAGGAAAACAGAATTCCATTACCCTCTTATGTTGGGACAGGCAGAGGAAACAGAATGTTCCATTTCCCTCTTTATGTTGGACAGGCAGAGAAAAAGATGTTCCACTACCCTCTTTATGTTGGGACAGGCAGAGGAAAAAGAATGTTCCATTACCCTCCTTATGTTGGGACAGGCAGAGGAAAACAGAATGTTCCATTTACCCTCTTATGTTGGGACAGGCAGAGGAAAACAGAATGTTCCACTCCCTCTTTATGTTGGGACAGGCAGAGGAAAACAGAATGTTCCACACCCTTTATGTTGGGGACAGGCAGAGGAAAACAAATGTTCCATTTACCCTCTTTATGTTGGGACAGGCAGAGGGAAAACAGAATGTTCCATTTACCCTCTTTATTTGGGACAGGCAGAGGAAAACAGGAATGTTCCATTTACCCTCTTTATGTTTGGGACAGGCAGAGGAAAACAGAATGTTCCATTTACCCTCTTTATGTTGGGACAGGGAGAGGAAAATAAAAACCAAAAGATAATGAAACATCAACTCCTTCCCTACCTGTCTCCTTCCCCTCCGTCCCTCTCTCCCTCCCAGGGTTGTACCACCCACTCTCCCTCCCTACCTGCCTCGACCTCTGAACCTTGGGGGGGGGGGGGGTGGGGCTGCACAAGATAGCTACTGGGAAGAGGGGACATTGCCGGCGGTTCCCCACTATAGGGTCACCATCACAAGTGGCAAGTGTGGCAGTACAATATTGGTTGCTTATGATGTTATTATAGTTCACGTTCCACCTTCATAAGTAATTGTCTAAGAGGTTTGGAGGGTGGGTGCTCCATTTGTTAAGCGGCCAAGTTAACAACAGTGTATAGCCAAGTTTAGAAGAGAAATCCTTTAGAATATAATGTAAATATCTATACAATTCCCATTGACAACGTTAATAGAAATCCTATAAGAATAAAAAAACATTGACATCCTATAGGATCCTATAGGATTCCAATACAATAATCCAATTGGATTACAATTACAATCAAATAGAAATATTATATCAGATTTTGGAACCAGTCCTATTGGACTCCTATGAGATTCTATCCTATATGGTTTTGTCTTATGGGATCCTTTAGGATTCTACTACCAATAAAAAAAGGTGCCAGGGGTTGACCGGGGCCAATCAGGGGTTGACCGGGGCCAATCAGGAGTTGACCGGGGCCAATCAGGAGTTGACCGGGGCCAATCAGGGGTTGACCGGGGCCAATCAGGGGTTGACCGGGGCCGATCAGCTGACTACTGACATCTCCTCATCCCCTGCCCGTGCTCTTCAGAGTAGGACGAAGTCGCCCCTAAATCCACTGATCTTAAAGTGTTGTGTTACCCCCTTATGTATAAGGATTTGGTGAGGATAAGCTGCTAGATCTGTGCATTGTGTAACGTTGTCACTTTCTAGCCAGAGGGGGGTGTCAGAGCTGATGTATTCTGCTCTGGGCTTGTATAGGAGGAGAAAGGGTCTCGTGCGTCTGTCCGTGACACCAGGTCCCAGTAAACCTGGGTAGATTATTTCAAATTACGTTTGCCTTTTCGGAGCTTTTACACTACGTTTCCTCACAAATCCATTCAGTCAAGGTTCCCTGTTGGTATTTATACGCGTGCCATGCACCGGCCAAATATGTGTCAGAAAAGGCCTGGTCCTTGGTCTTGGACAGAGACAGGCAGGACCGTGGATAATTAAGCTGTCGAGATTTCATAATAGTAGGTGACTGAATAGCAGGGGGAGTTCACCCGTTGGCCCCCATGAACAAAATATATTTGTTTCACTTCTCTCACTCAACATGGACAAAGTGAAATATTGTCTGCTTAATAAAAGTTAATAATTCTAGTTAGAGGGAATTCAGTCTGGTTTAACCCATTGTTCTCTTTATAATATAATATTTTATAATTTGAAATAATAAATACAATGTTGAATTATATCATATCTAAATCGATAAACACCTCTGTGTCATGAATGCTGGGGTATAAACAGTCATCTAATCTGGTGTTCATCCGTTCATAAATACTTCATCGATTTTCTTAATAGGATCTATAATTAGAACAGGTGAGCAAGACTACAATACCTGGATTACCGTCTGACATAATCTGGTGTAACTGTCATTCAGCATGTCTGCATGTACACATCAACCTCAGCGGAATACATTTACTAGACTATAGGCTACTAGGCTATTTACCAAGTCTATTTACCATGCCAAAGGACTGGCCAATAACCTTGTAATTCTAGTCAAACAATAACATCTTAAAACCATACATGTATTTTAGGCATGACTCCCACGCACATCCGAGAAGCGCAGCTTTGAGTACGATCCCTCTATAATAGCAACTTCACAACAATATTAAACACATCAACAGGATAAGTCTGCCTAAAAAAAAAAAATCTGAATCAAAAACGAATATTCTATTTTATTGAAAAATCCATTCTTGCATTATTCTTACCAGGTGGCTGAGACTTCTGAAGAAGCAGTCGGTCAACATGAGTTTCCATCTCTCCTCTATCTTGTCCGGGATGGGCTGGTAAACATAATATGCGGTGAACGCTCCCAAAGACAGGAGTAAAAATATGCCTTTCAAACGCATTTTAGGAAGAGTCCGCATCTATTGGTGGCAGGGTGCAGAAAGAAACTATGTCAGTTGTGCTTATTAACAAGTCACTTAAATCCGAGCAAAGCGTAATCTTGTATTAATTTTGGAACTGAGCCAGCCTGATATGAAAGCACATGTAAGCGTTATCTGATCATTATAAACGAGCATGATCATAGCTTTTCACCATGACTATCACTGCCTCCGCACAGCAGGCGGTTGTGTCGTATGATCCCCTGGTCTTCACACCCATGGAACGAGAAAAATGCGTTAATGCGAAGCGCGCCAGTGAGTTGAAACGATCGAACTGAGGAGTGAGCAATCCCCCCCCCCCCTCCCTCCCTCCCCACTCCCCCTTGCAGTCCACTCGGTTCCTTACCGGGTGAGGAACATGAACCAGAAAACTTGCTGCGACAGCACCAACAGCTTGTGCGCAACTTTCACAACTGCGTCGCCCTGTATGTTTGTTAGCAGGTTGCAGGTTATTCTATCGGCGTAGAATACAACGTGTTAAAGGTTCCGGCACGTAGATAATACAATTTCACAATTATACACATTCTTCAAGCCGAAGCACAACATTTGGTGTCAGCACACTCCACCCAGGCGAGATGCGAGCAGCCAATGATTTATGTACACTAGGTGACTAACATGGGGAGCTATTTCGTAGCCACCGCGCCTCCATCTTGGCCCTCTCAGACATCATAAAAAATATTTAGGAAGCTATGGAAATGTTTTATTAATGTCTACATTTGTTTTTTTTCCCATGCTTATTCTATAACAGACAACTTAATGCATACTTTGAAATTATATTATGTGAGCTAAACGTATATATATATATATATATATATATACACAGTACCAGTCAAAGGTTTGGACACCTACTCATTCCAGGGTTTTTCTTTATTTATTTTTTACTATTTTCTACATTGTAGAATAATAGTGAAGACATCAAAACTATGAAATAACACATATTGAATCATGTTGTAACCAAAAAAGTGTTAAACAAATCAAAATATATGTTATATTTGAGATTCTTCAAAGTAACCACCCTTTGCCTTGATGACAGCTTTGCACACTCTTTGCATTCTCTCAACCAGCTTCACCTGGAATGCTTTTCCAACAGTCTTGAAGGAGTTCCCACATATGCTGAGCACTTTTCCTTCACTCTGCGGTCCAACTCATCCCTAACCATCTCAATTGGGTTGAGGTCAGGTGATTGTGGAGGCCATGTCATCTGATGCAGCGCTCTATCACTCTCCTTCTTGGTCAAATAGCCCTTACACAGCCTGGAAGTGTGTTGGGTCACTGTCCTGTTGAAAAACAAATGTTAGTTCCACTAAGCGCAAACCAGATGGGATGGCGTATCGCTGCAGAATGCTGTGGTAGCCATGCTGGTTAAGTGTGCCTTGAATTCTAAATAAATCACAGACAGTGTCACCAGCAAAGCACCCCCACACCATCACACCTACTCCTCCATGCTTCACGGTGGGAACCACACATGCGGAGATCATCCGTTCACCTACTCTGCGTCTCACAAAGACACGGCGGTTGGAACCAAAAATCTCAAATTTGGACTCAGCAGACGAAAGGACACATTTCCACTGGTCTAATGTCCATTGCTCGTGTTTCTTGGCCCAAGCACGTCTCTTCTTATTATTGGTGTCCTTTAGTAGTGGTTTCTTTGCAGCAATTTGACCATGAAGGCCTGATTCACACAGTCTCCTCTGAACAGTTGATGTTGAGATGTGTCTGTTACTTGAACTCTGTGAAGCATTTTTTGGGCTGCAATTTCTGAGGCTGGTAACTCTAATGAACGTATACTCTGCAGCAGAGGTAACTCTGGCTCTTCCATTCCTTTGGCGGTCCTCATGAGAGCCAGTTTCATCATAGCGCTTGATGGGTTTTGCGACTGCACAAGCAAAGTTCTTGAAATGTTCCGTATTGACTGACCTTCATTTCTTAAAGTAATGATGGGACTGTCGTTTCTCTTTGCTTATTTGAGCTGTTCTTGCCATAATATGGACTTGGTCTTTTACCAAATAGGGCTATCTTCTGTATACCACCCTTACCTTGTAACAACACAACTGATTGGCTCAAACGCATTAAGAAGGAAATAAATTCCACAAATTAACTTTTAACAAGGCACACCTGTTATTTATAATGCATTCCAGGTCACTACCTCATGAAGCTAGTTGAGAGTATGCCAAGAGTGTGCAAAGTGAGATACCCAATGGGCTGGACGATTCCCTTCTCATCCCTCATCTTTAAAAAAAGTATACTAAAAACGTAGAAATCAATTAACACAATGGAAAAATCAAGAGATGGGGTGTGTGCTAGTGGGTCTTTGGAAGGTGTGATGTAGTTGATGTTTGTATAATTTCTTTGTGTATTTTGGGAAACATTTTGAGAAACATATTAAGATGGATTTATTCATACATTTTTGGTGAAATAAAATTAACAAATCATTGAAACGACTTCATTTATTTTTAATATAAGCAGTGGGGAGAACAAGTATTTGATACACTGCCGATTTTGCAGGTTTACCTACTTACAAAGCATGTAGAGGTCTGTAATTTTGATCATAGGTACACTTCAACTGTGAGAGAAAAATCCAGAAAATCACATTGTATGATTTTTAAGTAATTAATTTGCATGTTATTGCATGACATAAGTATTTGATCACCTACCAACCAGTAAGAATTCCGACTCTCACAGACCTGTTAGTTTTTCTTTAAGAAGCCCTCCTGTTCTCCACTCATTACCTGTATTAACTGCACCTGTTTGAACTCGTTACCTGTATAAAAGACACCTGTCCACACACTCAATCAAACAGACTCCAACCTCTCCACAATGGCCAAGACCAGAGAGCTGTGTAAGGACATCAGGGATAAAATTGTAGACCTGCACAAGGCTGGGATGGACTACAGGACAATAGGCAAGCAGCTTGGTGAGAAGGCAACAACTGTTGGCGCAATTATTAGAAAATGGAAGAAGTTCAAGATGACGGTCAATCACCCTCGGTCTGGGGCTCCATGCAAGACATCAAAACTATGAAATAGCACATATGGAATCATGTAGTAACCAAAAAAGTGTTAAACAAATCCAAATATATTTTAGATTTTAGATTCTTCAAAGTAGCCAACCTGTGCCTTGATGATGGCAGGTAGCCATCAGGTAGGGTGACAGGTAGTTTAGTGGGTAAGAGCGTTGTGCCAGTAACCGAAAGGTCGCTGGTTCTAATCCCCGAGCCGACTAGGTGAAAAATCTGTCGATGTGCCCTTAAGCAAGGCACTTAACCCTAATTGCTCCTGTAAGTCACTCTGGATAAGAGCGTATACTAAAATAGATAAAATATGACATCTTTGCACACTCTTGGCATGCTCTCAACCAGCTTCATGAGGTACCTGGAATGGATTTCAATTAACAGGTGTGCCTTGGTAAAAGTTAATTTGTGGATTTTCTTTCCTTCTTAATGCGTTTGAGACAATCAGTTGTGTTTTGACAAGGTAAGGGTGGTATACATAAGATAGCCCTATTTGGTAAAAGACCAAGTCCATATTATGGCAAGAACAGCTCAAATAAGCAAAGATAAACGACTGTCCATTATTATTTTAAGACATGAAGGTCAGTCAATCCGGAAAATTTCAAGAATTTTTAAACTTTCTTCAAGTGCAGTCGCGAAAATCATCAAGCGCTATGATGAAACTGGCTCTCATGAGACTGCCACAGGAAAGGAAGACCCAGAGTTACCTCTGCTGCAGAGGATACGTTCATTAGAATAACTGCACCTCAGATTGCAGCCCAAATAAATGTCATACATCTCAACATCAACTGTTCAGAGGACACTGCGTGAATCAGGTCTTCATGGTCAAATTGCTGCAAAGAAACCACTACTAAAGGACACCAATCAGAAGAAGAGACTTGCTTGGGCCAAGAAACATGAGCAATGGACATTAGACTGGTGGAAATCTGTCCTTTGGTCTGATGTGTCCAAATTTGAGATTTTTGGTTTAAACCGCTGTGTCTTTGTGAGACGCAGAGTAGGTGAACGGATGATCTCCGCATGTGTGGTTCCACCATGAAGCATGGAGGAGGAGGTGTGATGGTGTGGGGGTGCCTTGCTGGTGATTTATTTAGAATTCAAGGCAAACTTAACCAGCATGGCTACCACAGCATTCTGCAGTGATATGCCATCACATCTGTTTTGCGCATAGTGTGCAAAGCTGTCATCAAGGCAAAGGGTGGCTATTTGTAGAATCTCAAATATAAATTATATTTTGATTTGTTTAATGATTCTATATGTCTTATTTCATAGTTTTGATGTCTTCACTATTATTCTACAATGTAGAAAATAGTAAAAATAAAGAAAAACCCTTGAATGAGTAGGTGTGTCCAAACTTTTGACTGGTACTGTAAATATATATATATATATATATATATATATATATATATATATATATATATATATATATATTGTAGTACATTTCAATTCAACCTGAATAATTTGTTACACTGTGGCTGTGTGGTTGAATGTGTAAAATATTACTGCCCCATCGGTCGGGGATTCAATTCCTACTCCTGCCTGTCCCACTTTCACTTCTTCTCTGACTCCTCCTGTTTCTAATCTGTCTAAATAAAACATTGAAAAAATGCTGTTTAATACACTGAAAACAAACTTAATGGAATTCCACCCAAAAATATCCTCTGTATCTTAATCTTATATTTAGGCAATACATTATTTGCATTTCTTAACCAAGGGACCAGTTTGGATTTGGCTTCAGACCAATCAAATCACTTCCTAAGGAAAACGTCATTTTCTGAAAAACGTGTCTGTTTCTGGTCAGCTTGTGTTTATTTCCTGCAGTAGCTAGCTTGCTAAATCGTCCCTTTCCTAAGACATGGATGAAGATGGGGAATTGACTTGTGGGTTTGACTTAATTCTCTGTACAGGCCACTGATTATGACGGCGATTCTGATCTAACCATAAATGAATATGTTGTGCCACTGGCCTGTGACGATTGAAGTTCAATATGTAGCCTAGATGTATCCTAGTAGGCTCACGTTAACTAGCTAGCTAGCTAACTTAGCTGGTTCATTGTTGCCAATGCGAGGAACTTAGGCTAGTATCAAGCATTTTAGCTAGTTAGCCTATGACAACAAAAACTAAAAGTGTATGACAGAGGTATAGACCATTTTGCGAACAAAAGAGAGTAGGATGACTTGGGTGTTCAACTAGTCTACAAGTAGTGTGAGTAACACTACTTGAGAACAGCGCCGGAACAGCGCCGGAAGAAGATGGCTGCCGTTTTACAGCCCTCTAACCAATTGTACTATTATGT